GGAGAAGAGTAGTCTCTCTGCTATTTGGTATCATTGTTTGTGTCACACTGAACATGGACCAGCGAATGCAAAGGAAGAGATTTGTCTGAGGAGATCAGAAAAAAAGATGATAGATCTTCATGTCAAAGAAAAAGACTATAAGACCATCTCCACGCAGCTTGATGTTCCTGTGACTACAGTTGCAAATTTTGGTAAGAACTTCCGTAAAAAATATATTAATACCTGCAGTGGGGCTACCACTGCACTGCAAAGGGTTAATGGCTCATTTGTTTCTAGGTACTAAACAAAAAAAAAGTTATACTTACCAGAGCATCTGAACCGGCCTGTTCGAACGTCTCTCCCCCTCTGCTGCAGGGGTCTAAGGATTCTGGTGTTGTCACGTTCTGTACACTGTGCATAGACTGTGTATAGACGTGAGGACGCTGAAGAGCAGTTCATCTGTGCAGCGGAGGAGGAGATACGCTTCAGTGATCACAGAAGCAGGGAGCCGGCTAAGATGGTCTGGTGGTTATAACTTTTTTTTTTCGCACCTAGACACAAACAAGCACTTAGGGTTATTAACATTTGCAGTGGTAGCCCGGCTGCAAGGGTTAATAACATTTTTAACCAGAGTTCTCCTTTAAGGTCCATGGCAGTGTAACAAACTCCCTGGATGTGGCTGCAAAAGGGAAGCCGACCAGATTGTACAGGATGATAGTGCCCTATCTTATCCTAAAGAGCCGAGGAAAACTTCCAACAGGACACAAGTTGAACTCCAAGGTCAAGGTACATCACAACCAGGTGTCTGATTGCACCTTCTGTTGCTTTTTGAATGACAAAGGCCTCAATGGGAGAAGACCCAGGAGGAAAGAACAACATAAAAAGGACAGACTGGAATTTGGAAAATGCATAATGACAATTCACAATGCTTCTGGGTGAATGTCCTGACAGCTCTTTGTGCTCACAGTTAAAAAAATCATCTTTCAAAGAAAGGAACACCATACCTACCGTGAAACATGGAGGAGGCTCATTTATGTTTTGGGGCTTCTTTGCCGTTTCTAGCACAGAGTACCTTTAATCTGTGCAGGGCACAAGAAACCTCAAGACTATTAAGGAATTCTAGAGGAAGACTTACAGTCTCTTTCTCAGTCGTAGGTCATGGGTCCTCCAACAGGATAATGGCTGAAAGCACACAGCTAAAAGCTGTGAATGGCTATTAACATACATTAGATTATTCTGAAGTGGCCTTCTGTGAGCCCTGATCTGAACCCTATCAAAACATTTAGGCCTTGATCATACCGAAAGCGTGTACATTGCAGAGTGGTAGCGATCGGACGCGTGACAAAACTTTGCCAGCGTTCCGTTCCACTGCAAACGCAAAATATAGGGCTTGCTCTATTTTTTTGCATTTGCAGTGGAACGCACCGCCACGCCCCCTCCCGCCCCAAAACGCGGGGGGAAGATTCTCAGCGATCGCGGTGCGTTCCAGCAGCTGCCGCTCTGGAACGCACACGCTTTCGGTGTGAACAAGCCCTTATGGAAAGAGATGACACGTGCAGTCAGTCAGGGGGTGGTGTGACCTCTATGTCCGTGGATTATATATCAGTAGATGGTGTGATCTCTATGTCTATGGATTATATATCAGGAGATGGTGTGATCTCTATGTGCATGGATTATATATCAGTAGATGGTGTGATCTCTATGTCTATGGATTATATATCAGGAGATGGTGTGATCTCTATGTGCATGGATTATATATCAGTAGATGGTGTGATCTCTATGTCTATGGATTATATATCAGGAGATGGTGTGATCTCTATGTGCATGGATTATATATCAGTAGATGGTGTGATCTCTATGTCTATGGATTATATATCAGGAGATGGTGTGATCTCTATGTGCATGGATTATATATCAGTAGATGGTGTGATCTCTATGTCTATGGATTATATATCAGGAGATGGTGTGATCTCTATGTGCATGGATTATATATCAGTAGATGGTGTGATCTCTATGTCTATGGATTATATATCAGGAGATGGTGTGATCTCTATGTGCATGGATTATATATCAGTAGATGGTGTGATCTCTATGTCTATGGATTATATATCAGGAGATGGTGTGATCTCTATGTGCATGGATTATATATCAGTAGATGGTGTGATCTCTATGTCTATGGATTATATATCAGGAGATGGTGTGATCTCTATGTGCATGGATTATATATCAGTAGATGGTGTGATCTCTATGTCTATGGATTATATATCAGGAGATGGTGTGATCTCTATGTGCATGGATTATATATCAGTAGATGGTGTGATCTCTATGTCTATGGATTATATATCAGGAGATGGTGTGATCTCTATGTGCATGGATTATATATCAGTAGATGGTGTGATCTCTATGTCTATGGATTATATATCAGGAGATGGTGTGATCTCTATGTGCATGGATTATATATCAGTAGATGGTGTGATCTCTATGTCTATGGATTATATATCAGGAGATGGTGTGATCTCTATGTGCATGGATTATATATCAGTAGATGGTGTGATCTCTATGTCTATGGATTATATATCAGGAGATGGTGTGATCTCTATGTGCATGGATTATATATCAGTAGATGGTGTGATCTCTATGTCTATGGATTATATATCAGGAGATGGTGTGATCTCTATGTGCATGGATTATATATCAGTAGATGGTGTGATCTCTATGTCTATGGATTATATATCAGGAGATGGTGTGATCTCTATGTGCATGGATTATATATCAGTAGATGGTGTGATCTCTATGTCTATGGATTATATATCAGGAGATGGTGTGATCTCTATGTGCATGGATTATATATCAGTAGATGGTGTGATCTCTATGTCTATGGATTATATATCAGGAGATGGTGTGATCTCTATGTGCATGGATTATATATCAGTAGATGGTGTGATCTCTATGTCTATGGATTATATATCAGGAGATGGTGTGATCTCTATGTGCATGGATTATATATCAGTAGATGGTGTGATCTCTATGTCTATGGATTATATATCAGGAGATGGTGTGATCTCTATGTGCATGGATTATATATCAGTAGATGGTGTGATCTCTATGTCTATGGATTATATATCAGGAGATGGTGTGATCTCTATGTGCATGGATTATATATCAGTAGATGGTGTGATCTCTATGTCTATGGATTATATATCAGGAGATGGTGTGATCTCTATGTGCATGGATTATATATCAGTAGATGGTGTGATCTCTATGTCTATGGATTATATATCAGGAGATGGTGTGATCTCTATGTGCATGGATTATATATCAGTAGATGGTGTGATCTCTATGTCTATGGATTATATATCAGGAGATGGTGTGATCTCTATGTGCATGGATTATATATCAGTAGATGGTGTGATCTCTATGTCTATGGATTATATATCAGGAGATGGTGTGATCTCTATGTGCATGGATTATATATCAGTAGATGGTGTGATCTCTATGTCTATGGATTATATATCAGGAGATGGTGTGATCTCTATGTGCATGGATTATATATCAGTAGATGGTGTGATCTCTATGTCTATGGATTATATATCAGGAGATGGTGTGATCTCTATGTGCATGGATTATATATCAGTAGATGGTGTGAGCTCTATGTCCATGGATTATATATCAGGAGATGATGTGATCTCTATTTCCATGGATTATATATCAGGAGATGGTGTGTTCTCTATGTCCATGGATTATATATCAGTGGATGGTGTGATCTCTATGTGCATGGATTATATATCAGTAGATGGTGTGATCTCTATGTGCATGGATTATATATCAGGGGATGGTGTGATCTCTATGTCCATGGATTATATATCAGGGGATGGTGTGATCTCTATGTGCATGGATTATATATCAGTAGATGGTGTGAGCTCTATGTGCATGGATTATATATCAGTAGATGGTGTGAGCTCTATGTGCATGGATTATATATCAGTAGATGGTGTGAGCTCTATGTCCATGGATTATATATCAGTAGATGATGTGATCTCTAGGTGCATGGATTATATATCAGTAGATGATGTGATCTCTATGTGCATGGATTATATCAGTAGATGGTGTGATCTCTATGTCCATGGATTATATATCAGGGGATGGTGTGATCTCTATGTCCATGGATTTTATATCAGGAGATGATATGATCTCTATGTCCATGGATTATATATCAGGGGATGATGTGATCTCTATGTCTATGGATTATATATCAGGGGATGGCGTGATCTCTCTGTCTATGGATTATATATCAGGAGATGGTGTGATCTCTATGTCCATGGATTATATATCAGGGGATGATGTGATCTCTATGTCTATGGATTATATATCAGGGGATGGCGTGATCTCTATGTCTATGGATTATATATCAGGGGGTGGCGTGATCTCTATGTCTATGGATTATATATCAGGGGATGATGTGATATCTCTGTCCATGGATTATATATCAAGAGATGATGTGATCTCTATGTGCATGGATTATATATCAGGGGATGATGTGATATCTCTGTCCATGAATTATATATGAGGAGATGATGTGATCTCTATGTGCGTGGATTATATATCAGGGGATGATGTGATCTCTATGTGCATGGATTATATATCAGGAGATGGTGTGATCTCTATGTCCATGGATTATACAGTATATCAGGAGATGGTGTGATCTCTATGTGCATGGATTATACAGTATATCAGGAGATGGTGTGATCTCTATGTGCATGGATTATACAGTATATCAGGAGATGGTGTGATCTCTATGTGCATGGATTATACAGTATATCAGGAGATGGTGTGATCTCTATGTGCATGGATTGCAGCCTCTTCCTCGCAGTATGCATGCTATGGTCATGCTGTGGGATGCACACAGTCTGGGCTGTATCTGGGATCTCCTGCTCATTGTATCTATAGGAGGTTGTGTCTGGGATCAGCTGTCTCATATTGCTGCTGTCACACATACAGTAGTCCGCCCCATCAGTCCTTACCTGGATCCAGCCGCTTCCCTCGGCCTGCTTTGGCTATATATTGGTTCGGGGGAGTGTGTATAGGTGGATAGGAAGAGAAGGGTGCTTCACTGGAATATGTCCTGCTGGAAACAGAAGCCAAGTGGAAAGAAGAGACGGTACTTGTGTTCCCGGTCAGCCTGCTGCCATAGATGGGAGGATGTACACAGGCCGGGTGATGTGTCTCCCCGTTGACACTGGTCTGGTGATCACCCCAATCCTGTGTGATCTGTACTGTGTATTGTATTTGTAGTAAAGGGGCATGCAGTGTTCTCCCTGCTGTGCCTTCGTCCTGCTCTGCTGTGCCCCCCTCCTCCTCCTCCACAGCCCAGTGACGTCCCTGTTAACTCCCCTCCTCTGCCTGCTCTCTCCCCGTTGTCCTGGCTCACCCTCCATTCAGGATAGAGACTCTACTGACATTGCTCCATGTCATCTCTCCTCGCCGGTTGCTAAGGACGCACCAGCCGGGATTACAAGTGGCCGGCATAGGAAGCAACGACTGAGATATCGATCCTCTTCTTCTGTAAGGAGTCGGGAGTCAAATAAAAGGAGGCCTTCCCATCACAGCTCTCGGGCGAGGGTCTCCAATCGAGCCTCCGGCTATGCAGGCTTGCGTCAAAGTCTAAGGACACCAAGGAATCCTGTGCACGCTGCAGATGCTCTCCCCCTTTCGGACCAAGTGGCTAACATTTGTGAGGATGACGCTCCCGGCAAATTCTTCGCCCAGTTCAGTCTCCGGAACACAGAGATCATCAGGTCACTTGCCCTCCTGAGGTGTGACTGATCGGGGATAGGGAGCAAGGATTTTATGTTATGATCCGCACTGACGTCTTCTCTGTCGCAGCTTGTTCATAGATCGTCTCATTCCGGATGGTGTACCGGTGTGGTGCATCATATTCCTGTGATCCTCCTGTAGTCTGGTCTGCTGCGCACAGCTGCTCCCGATGGGTCACATTTGCCTTCAGTCATGAATTTGGTGTTTTCTCTGCTACAAATGCTCGGAATGGACCTGAATGTCCTCTTGGAGAAGCTGTGTTCTGTGAACGTTCCCCTTTAGGTTTTCATTTGCTTGCTGGGGTCAAAAAAATTTGGAATGATGAGTTTTTAGATTTGCTTCCTTCTGCTAAAGAGTTTTTGGGGAAAAAATGATAGGAAGGAGGTTGAGCGTACAGAAGAAGATAGGTTAGCAAATCGTTTATTAATTGGTTAAAGAATAACTTCAGGCAGTAACCAAATGAAGGGCTACCCTTCATTTGGGGTTAGAAGCAAGGAGGGTTAGAAGTGCTCATGTTGGTCTAGGGTGGTAAATGATAAGGAATAAATTAGAGCTGCAACAGTTAATCGATTTAGTCGATTAAAATCGACGATTGAAAACGTTACCAACGTTTTTTTTTTTTTTTTTTTTTTACCGATTAATCGAACTTAATAATCGTCCAACTAATCGATTATGAAAATAATCGTTAGCTGCAGCCCTAGAATAAATACACTGCTCTTTTTTTCTTGTTCAGCCGATTCCACCATGAACACTACCAGCATGTCGAGCGAGGAATCCCAGCTGTTTGCACTGAATTCTGACAACTGCTGCTGACTCTGAACGTACAAAGATTTTACAATCGGCTCCTTCAATCAGCTAGTCGAGGGATGCCAACCGAAAGGGTGACGTCAGCAGCACACACTGCAAATTTCTGCCGGTTCCTCAGAAACTGTCTGAAATTTGCACAGTGTATGGGCACCTAAGGTTATACTCATCCGAACCTCAGACCCACCTGGCTGATGGGCTGCAGGGACCAGTCTATCTCCCCCTCCACTCCGGCGGTAGAATGTCCCCCGACGTCCTCACATTTTATACAGTGTAACAGTGACGTAAGGTACCTCTTGCTCGGGGTGAGGCATTCCCCTGCCCCGCCCCCACCGGACAAAGCTCCAACTCCTGGTCGAAGCACCACCTCCAACCTTTTCCCAAGCTAGTGTAAGTGAGGAGCCTCCCTGTCCCTCACTTGCTCCTCACCGCTGAGGCTCCGCGACAGGTTACACAGCGGGGAGGATTTCCCTGCTGTGTAACCTGTTAGATGCCGATCTGAATGGTAAAAAAGCTGTCAGCTTCAGACATTTTCTCCATATATATAGGTGAGGCTCTGCCTCCCCTGACCGCCCATCCCTGCAGTGTAATGGACATGATTTCAGGATCCTTAGACCGCTGAAGCGGAGGGGAGGGGGGAGAGACTGCATGCACCGGTCTAGCAGCCAGTTCAGAGGAGTTCTACCGAGAACCGTGTTTTTGACCATCATCACCATCTTTTCTTGTGGTTTGGTAAAAGAGGCATGTGTTGGAGAGAAGTTTTGGTATTTGTTCAAGGTTTGGCCAACTCATTTTTTAGTTCTTCATTTATGGAGAAATGATGTGGGAAATAGTAAAACCTTAGCTATATAATTTCATATCGCATATGACCAGTTGAAAACGGCTCTTGCTGATTGGTAATTGTTACGCATTTGCTTTGGTTGGAATCTGCTCCACTTAGGCAATTTGAGAAAATAAGGAAGAGATTGAATCATCTCCTTTCTGCCGCAAATCCATTGGGGGGAATTTGTCAAAACTGGAGCAAACAGAATCTGGAGCAGTTGCCCATGGCAACCAATCAGCATCTCTCTTCAGTTTGCTCAGGTAAGATTTGAAAATAAGATAGAGAAGCTGATTGGCTGCAGTGGAAATCTGCTCCAGATTGTATCTGCTCCAGTTTTGATAAATCCCGCTTCATTGTGTTTCCTTTGGTTGGATTGAATCCAGAGTGGGGTTTATATACAATATACGCTTCTGCGCTCACCAAAAATGATGTATTAACCCTACAGCTGCTGACACCTCAAATAAATATACTTACACCAATAATTAATCAATCACTGTGCAGCACTCTTCAATATCATAGACAGAGTATCTCTATGTGCAAAAATATCTTAAACATGCATAAAAGTGATTCACAGTTTGGATTTTTCACAATCCCAATCTGTCATCATACATCTTATGTTTCTTAAAGTGAATATAGTTTGTGCAAAAATCGCAGTCCTCCAATCCCAATGAGCATTCAATAAGCACAGTGTTATTGTGTGAAAGGAACTTCATATTATTCCACTCCTCCCTCAAATGAAAAGACAGCTTCATGCTTTGTGCTACACTCCAAACTCAATCCTGCTCACCTTCTTGGATGGACCTCAGCTTAAAAAGATTTGGTCAATAAACACATGTGCTGAAATAAATAATTCCTTCTCGTTTTCTAGTGACGCACTGCCGTATAATTTAAAGGAGAACTATGAGGTGAGTGCTTTTCACTCATCCTCATAGTTCTAGACGACCTGTGACAATGAGACTGTCACAGGTCGGCTCAGTAGATCGGGAGGTGAGCGAACACATCCCGGCGTTCGCTCACCTCTCGATCCTGTCACAGCTCTCTGCCGTGACAGGGGGAGGGGCTGGATTCCCCTCTCCCCGCTCCGATCTGCCAGCGCTGACTGGCGGAATGGACGGGGGAGGGGGCGGGTACAGCTGACTCTGCCTCTAGATAGGCAGAGCCAGCTGTCACTCACGCAGCTGGGCGGATCCAGACATAATTCTCGGGATCCGCTTCAGCTGCGGCGTCTCAGTATACCGCAAGCAGCAGCTTGCGTCACCTTAGGCTCGCGGTATACTCAGCTTAGGGTGATGGGAGGACGCTAGTTTGTGTCCTCCCGTTACCCTAAGGAGAACTATGGGGAAAAGCCCTAACCTCATAGTTCTCCTTTAATGGTACACCACTATATACAGTATTATGCTTTCACTCTCTTGGGCTGGGTTCACACCTGGGCGTTTTTCAGCGCTGATCGAAGCGCCGAAAAACGCCCAGCAAGGGAAATCCCATAATTTACTATGGGCATGGTTCCCACCTGGGCGTATTTCAGTCCGTGGAAACGCGCTGAAAAACGCCCTAGGCCCAAACAAGTACAGGAGCCTCTTTGGGGCATTTTTCAGCGCGTATCCATTGTTATTCCTGAGTGTGGCTCGGGGTTAACAAAGCGGTAACCCTGAGCCACACTCGGGAATACAGCGTAGGACTTACCTTGTCCGCGATCCCCACTGTGTCGCTGCCGACTTCCGGGTTCCATCCCTTGCGAGCGGCCGCGTTGAAAGTTTTAAAGTTAAAAAAAAAATTAAAATAAAGGAAAAAAACAAAAAATCATACAGCCAGGGAGGTATAAAAACGCGCGTTTCACTGAACGAAAAAACGTGTTAAAAACTAGCTGAAAAAACGCGCCTACAGTACGCCCAGGTGTGAACCCAGCCTTGGCGAGTCTCTTAATGCAATTTCTGATCCAACACCTGAATACGGTTATGGAGCACTCCACCTCCTCATTCACCAACGGCGTATGAATCACATATTTACTCGCAGAGAAAACAGAAATAAACCTTAGTGAAACCCATTGATAAAACAACTTTATTAAAAGGAGAACTATGAGACGAGTGAAAGTCACACAGCCTCATAATCTGAGCCGACCTGTGACAATGAGACTGTCACAGGTCGGCTCAATAGATCGGGAAGTGAGCGAACACATACCGTCGCTTGCTCACTTCTCGATCCTGTCCCTGTAGAGCCGTGACTGTCACTCACGGCTCTCTGCAGGGATTCCCCCTTCCGCTGTCCGATCCTCCAGCGCTGACTGGCGGAATGGATGGGGGAGGGTACAGCTGGCTCTGCCTCTAGATAGGCAGAGCCAGCTGTCACTCACGCAGCTGGGTGGATCCAGACAGTAATGTCGGGATCCGTCCCGGCGTCTCAGTATACCGCGAGCTACGCTTTGGGTGACGGGAGGACGCTAGTTTGTGTCCTGTTACCCTTAGGAGAACTATGGGGAAAAACACTGACCCCATAGTTCTCCTTTAAAACATCTAAAAAAACACTCACATTTTAAAAGTGTAACCTCGCATGTACACAGACGCCAAGTAGGATTTCTCCTCCATTATCCTTTAATGGCTTTTCCGGTATAAGCTTCATTCTGACACTCTTTTTGGGGACACCATCCCCAACTGGACAGCGTTACTTGGCGTCTGTGTACATGAGAGGTTACACTTTTAAAATGCGAGTGTTTTTTTAGATGTTTTAGTTTTTTACCCGTGGCTTGCACTATGGTTTCTTTCTGTTTCCTGTTGTTATTTACGCATAG